CTGATCAGGGCACATATCTAGGTTTCGGGTTCTATCCCCAGTTGGGGCAAGTACAGGAGTCAACTGATCAATGTTCCTCTCTGTGTGTTGAGGCTAAAAAATAAAAATGGGTAACATATTCAGATGTTGGGTCTCAACATTAGAGTTGCATCATTGCTTTTATGCATCCTGTATTTGCCTGTAGACTGAAACTTTGGTTCTGAGAAATTACAATGTTGAAATTTCAAATAGCAGCTTGCCCAATAGGGGGTGCTCCTGAAATAGAATTATTTACAGTAAAATAATTACTTGGAAAAATAGCCTTTGAGGCAGAAATACCTGAGGAAACTGCAGACTCATGTGATTTTAGATAAGTCCTAATTCTTTGGATGCATTATCAAAATTATTACTGAAGTTGTCATTGAACTTGCAGACTCCTTTTACAGAATTATCTAAGGAACATAAATTACAGATGTTAGCATCTTGGTGGGACCCCAAGAACTATAACAGTACAATCCACTGCCTTGAGGAAACACAAGTGATATCCTTAATGCAAACTTAAATTACAATAAAATGTAGTATTTACAATAAGAATTCAGACAAGAGAGGCAACTCTCAACTTATGTGGGGAGTGCTTTGCTGTTTGGTCTTTTTATTAGAGGGGATGGGGTAGGCAGAGAAAAGTACATGGAGATGACAGGGCAAGATGAGAGGAAAACTGAAACTAAAGCCCAGCAGTGAACAAGAGAAAGACTTTCTCGCCTGGCTGGTGTGGCTCAGTGGTTGAGCATCGACCTATGAACCAGGAGGTCATGAGTTCGATTCCCGGTCAGGGCACATGCTTGTTGCAGGCTCGATCCCCAATGTGGGGTGTGAAGAAGGTAGCCAATCAATGATTATCTCTCATCGTTGATGTTTCTATCTCTCTTACTTTCTCTCTGAAATCAATAAAAAAATATATAATAAAAAAATGAAAAAGACCTCTCTACTGCCAGTCAGGATTAGAAATTTGAAAAATAAATTTGAAAATAAAATAACAGATTATGAATAGACACGAACTTCCTAATAAGACAGTGGCAGAGGAAGACAGAGTTCAAGCAGATGAGCTAAGTAAGGAAGAAAGGTCAAGGTTCTTTATTTGACAATAGAGACACTTTGGAGAAAATTCTACGAAACGTAAACCTTTCATAATCTTCCAAGGTTCCTGCCATGATTGTATAGATTCTCCTTCCTTTTCCACACTTCTCCTGTCAACTAAAAATAATAGCTACTTTTTATTAAATATCTGTTTTCTACAAGGGGTTTTACAGGCATTCTCTCACAAAACAACCACCAGCCTGGTAAGAAAGCTCACTGTTGTTTTACTGATGAGGAAGAACTCACAGCTGTCAAGTGGTGAAACCAGAATTTACTCACTGCTCTGTTTAATTCCAACTTTAATATCCTTTTCATTATGCCTTTAGAATTCAGAGAGACCAGCCTTGCCGGCATGGCTCAATGGTTTGAGCATCAACCTATGAACCAGGAGTTTGAGGTTCAAATCCCTGTCAGGGCACATGCCCGGGTTGCAGGCTCAATCCCCAGTGGGGGGCATGCAGGAGGCACCCGATGAATGATTCTCTCTCAACATTGATGTTTCTCTCTCTCTCTCTCTCTCTCTCTCTCTCTCCTTTCCTTTCTGAAATCAATCTAAAATAAAGTAAAATTCAGAGAGTCTAAGGACAGGCATGGGAGATCCTAATCTTCAATAGTGCCAATGGGAAAAGTTCTCGAGATGTCCCAATAACACATTTATTTATATGCAGTGAGTAGTCATCTGTACATTTCATGACCATTGTCTAAGTTGAAGGACAAGATTAATTTTTAAAAACAGGTATATCCCTGGCCAGTTTGGGTCAGCGGATAAAGCACAAGCCTGCGGACCAAAGATCCTGGGTTCGATTCCGGTCAAGGGCACTGTACCTTGGTTGCTGGCTCCTCCCTGGCCTGGGCCTTGATTGGGGCATGTGTACGAGGCAACCCATCGATGTGTTTTTCTCACATCGATATTGCTCTCTGTCTTTTCCTCTCCCACTCTCTTTAAAAATCAATGGAAATATATCCTCAGGTAAGGATTTAAATAAATAAAATAAAAATAGGTATAAACCCTAAATCCCATCATTTAGAGTTTCAAAAGGTACATTTTGCTAACAAGAAAGTGCCTGTGGCCTTTTAGGAATGCCTTTTTTTTTTAATCTAAATAACTTTCAAGTAATGTTACATAGTTTATAATTTTGGCCATATAGCCACTAATTTGCCTTTGTACAAGAAATGATAAATAGCAGAAGGTGAGGAGTGTTTTCATCAAGTTGTATATTCTCCCCCACTACTGCATGCTTAGTATAAAATAATATCACAACTCTGAAACCACACTATCAATTCATGATGCTTTTAAAGACAGACCTGATAGCACTTTGCCCTAAGTCTATTTTGCCCTGAGAGCCCAGCTAAGCACTCTCTTGGGAAGGATTTTAAGTGCCATTTGATCTTTCAGTTCTAGTCTCCCCGCCAGTCTGGGCTCCCTATAAAACACCGATGATTGGACAACTGTGCCGTTAGCCATCAATAGCCTGAGTTCAGGGTAGCCTCACTTTAGTTCTACAAAATATACTGCAGGTCACAAATACTCATATTCTCAAGCTTGTAGAGTTTGAAATGTAAGTAATAAAAGTGTCAAGCCCTGCCAGCGTGGCTCAGTGGTTGAGCATTGACCTATGAACCAGGAGGTCAAGGTTCCATTTTGGGTCAGGGCACATGCCCAGGTTGCGAGCTTGATCCCCAGTAAGGATCATGCTGGAGGCAGCTGATTGATGTACTTTCACATGTTTCTCTTTCTCTCCCTTGCTCTCTCTCTAAAAATCAATTTAAAAAAATGTTTTTAAATAAAAGAGTTGTTGAGCCCTAGCTGGGTTGGCTCAGTGTATAGAACATCGGCCTGAGGACTGAAGGGTCGCAGGTTCAATTCCAGCCAAGGGCACATGCCCAGGTTGCAGGCTTGATCCCCAGTAGGGGGCGTGCAAGAGGCAGCCAATCAATGATTCTTTCTCATCATTGATGTTTCTGTCTCTCCTTCTCCCTTCCTCTCTGAAATCAATAAAAATATTTTTTTAAAAAAGAGTTGTTGGGAAGGGGCAAGATAATCAGATAATGTCAAAGTTATCATCCTACGAAGTAATTACAAATTTCAAAGTGAAAACTGAACCTCAGACTTGGAAGAAATAAAGTGTTCATCACTGTAATAAAGTCATAACATATATGTAAAAAGCCAGCAACCACAACAACCGGAACGACCGAGGACGACTAGTCACTATGATGCCCACTGTAGCCAATGCACCGGCCTGATCAGGGGGTGGGACCTGCCAGCCAACCTCTCATGGCCCCTCCCCCCCCCAGCTGGCCTGCCCCTGATGGACTCTTCTACCCCTATCAAGGGTGGGGCCAGCCGGCCAAATGCCCCACCACACCCCCCTGCCCTTCCCCCCGGCCGGCCCCA